TATACCAACTTCCTCGATTTCCGAGCCCAATGATGAAAGGTATTCAACCAGTTCCCTGAATGTCTTTGGTTGTGAACGACCAATCATGTGGTTTCTGGTTGTTTTGTTCAGCGAGTTGCAAAGTTGATATATCTTGATCTTTTTGTCCTCCATCAAACTTGGACTCCTCAACAGCAACTGTTGAAAGCGTGGGAGGTATGATGATAAATTCTCATCCCTGAATTGTCGGCAGGCATGAAATAACGCGGCAGCTGATTGTTCCTCATTTCTATCCCAATATGTATCATCCATAGCCTGTAGCAGTCCTAAGGCATCTCATATCACATTGTTGGCAAGCATATCCTGAAACTGGCCCGTAATCATATCCTTAGCAGTTCCAGTCACTGCATGGCTATTTAATTGCATGAAGAAATCAGAGGACTGGAGAATGCATCGCTCCTCTACATTGCGCTGGTATATGTAGCGTAGAATTCCATGTGTAGTTGTCCACTTACTCCTGTCCTTGTATTTGTATGCTTCCGGCCACTTTAGTGGTTTTTCCTTACTGAGTGGTGTCATGAATGCGCTTTTCACATTAGTAGTTAATTGTCATCCACATAGTGTAGCACGCAGAGCCAGGGAAATGGAAACAGGTAAGTGATAAATTAGATACCATCAATTGCTACACTCACCCGTAGATCACTCTTAAAAGAGACTAGCTACGGCGCTATCAGGAAGTATGTGGGATTGGTTAATTATCATGTAGATAACCCGTAACATAACATAACATAATAACACAATAAGATACCATTTGCATTCCGTAACATTTTATTGCCATAATCACCCAAGTATATTCTAAGCCCCCTGAGTAGTCACAACCATTTAATTGAAGATACTGTCAGGATCTCTTAGGACTTGGTTACTTAACTTGAACTTGAGGTACTAAATCTTGGGCTCTTGATGGTAAAGAAAATATAACAACAATAAAGACTTGTTTCTTGATTCTTGATTCTTGGGTATCTAGGGAATAGTACAAGACTGAAAGCTGAAGAGCTTTCGACATGAAGATTCGTCAGCTACTTATACTACAACACTATCTGCTACAGACTACAGTAATCTAGTTCCAGTCCGATTCCTGTCGAACTCCTGAGAGTAACCTAGGATCTGATCGAAGCCCATTGAACTAGTAAGAGTACAAAATACCATCCCCAAACATCTAGAAACTAATTACCAGAGTAGCTTAGAATTCCATCGAAGTAACTAGAACTTGTCTAGAGGGATACCAGCCGAAGCTAGGATCAGACTCTACCTTCATACCATGAATCTATCCATGACATAGCAGTAGCCATATAGTCTTAGAGCCAGAGGTTGGCAGGATAATATCTCCACCTCAGTCAGTCCGTGACAGATACCAAGTGTATACAACCATATACATCACCACCCTTCAATAAGTGGTTCCATAAGTTCTGATTGTCGACCAGGATTAGGCCTCGCTGGCTCCAGGGGTGCCTGGTCATTATTCTGAGACTTCTTCTGCATCATCAACATTAAGTCATTCATCTGGGATTGTATCATCCCCAGATCTCTTTTGTGCTCCTTTTCGCGGGCTATCATTTCGTTGACCAACCATTGTATTTCTGACTGCGATTCTTCAGGTGTTGGTTCCTGGTTCGACACACCACTTGCCATAAATTCCATTCCAATATTTAAGTTGTCCATATTTGAACCCATTAATAATTGTTCAAATCTCTGTGCTGATTTAAACGAAATTACGCTTTGACAACTTGATTGTCCAGAGCTAAATTTCCCGTTTGTTGATTCCGATGGTGGAGCAAATGATGGCATTCACTTTTTTTAAGCAGTCTTAACTCAACTAAGATGTTAACCGATGTGTACCTTTGAGTGTGAGGTGCCCTAAGTCGCTGTCAACCAAAACTGTGTTATACTCAGTAACGGGCAAGAGTGTGAAAGATATAGTTTAAAATGTGACGGAAACCGAGTTGGTGATGAATAAGTCGATTTAATAGGCTATATGAGGAGAGAAGAGAACTCTAGCTACAACTAACAGGTACTTATAATGACTGATCTGCTGCGTGTATCTACTAACTGATGGTTTTCCTCCAGACATCATACTCGCTAACTAGCCACGTATTGTTGGGTGTTACTTAGTTGTAACAGCAATCTTGCGTCCTGATTAGTATTATTGTTTCGTCTAGTTCCATCTTCCCCTCCCCGTGCGACCTTATTGTAAACAATCTGAGTATTACCCTTAGGTATCCACCTAAGCTCATACAACAGTCAAACCGTGACACTAGTATACACCTCCTGACTGATACACACCAACAATTCTAGCAGTTAGTTCCTAGGTGTTTCGGGATGGTATTTTGTACTTTTTCCAGTTGTAAAAATCTTTCCTGGTACCACTGAAAATATGAGCATCTGGCAGTAATGCTGACCTCGATGTATTTCGACCCTCTAAGGCAACCACTAGTTGTGACATCAAATCCTCATTAATTGATTGACCATTCACATTTCTCGGGCTCGATGGTTTCTTTTCAAGCTTCTTTATTCGTCGCCTCGTCGATTCGAGTTCCGCTTCGGCTTCTTCATTTCTTAATTTCAATGCCTTAATTGCATCAATTACAGCTGCTGGGTCGGTCTGAACCCCTTTCACAAATTGCGACACATCTGAAATTCCGGCAATTTGTTCCAAAATCTGTTTATTCTGGCCTAATGTTTCTTGATTTCCTGGAATCAAAGACATGATTTCAAAAATTGGTTGTAGAGCTTTCAGTAATTTCAGGATCTCTTGGGACTTGGTTACTCAACTTGAACAGGTAGGTGCTAAATCTTAGATTCTTGTTCGGATTAGGTCCTTGTCAACAATGTCTAGCCTAATTGTGCTATGTTGCAGGCTACTGTTCCAATTATTCATGGGGTCATCATCAGGGTTGTGAGTAGTTTCGGTTTTGGTGTGGGTTTTTAGATTGATACTTAAGCGTGTCGCATAGTAGTCAGACATGCGACTCGAGTAGCATATGCACGGTAGACCTCAAACCCAAAATGATGATACGAATCAGGCTTTACATGCTACGTCCTGTATGGCTAGCGTGGTTGGAATATGGGAAATTTACCTGTAGATAGATAAAGACGTTGTAGCTCTCTGATAGTTGGGACAAGTCTTCTACAATATTATATCGGAATAAAATCTAGCCGCTCAATAAGCAATCTCATGAATTATTTCCAATGTCTGTGATAACAGACATACATTAAAAATCGACAACAACTTTAAAGTAAATAAATTCTTGATGATAAAGAAAATACAATAACAATAAAGACTTGGTTCTTGATTCTTGGATATCTAGGGAATAATAAAAGAATTAATACCTCACTTTCGTACCTTTCGTTTTGCATTAATCTAACCTTACGTATACGTAAAATAAGGCCAATTGACAAAAGGATCAATTAATCTACACCATGGAGTCTCAAATTAGAGCTAGGTATGGTCTGTGCAGTAAGTGCTTGGGCACATGGAAGGCAGGTTCCCTGCATCTGCGTGATGTAGGATGGCAACCTCTGGCATGAATAAACATCAAATAGGTCGAAAGGTTATTCGATGAAAGTCCTAACGTTTGTATTTTTGTTTAAATTGCTTACTTCGTATCAAATAACTCTATTCACCTGTTACAAATTGCTACGACATAGAATGGAGGGAATAGACCTCGTTTGGAATGAGAGATTGATGTAGCGGAAAGCCTTGAACCACTAGCTTGTGGACCAACTTCTTCTGCATTACAAAATTTGACTGAAATTAGCTCTGTTGAACAGATCACTTATAGATTCGTAGATGTCACCGCGGACAAGCTTTCAGTTTTTGTCATTGATAAAACAACCACATCTGGCATTTAGTGACATATGGAAATGTTACCTATTTTCTAAGAATGTTAGGTTCCTAAATTTTCAACTGAAGCGAGTAGAATTTTACTGAGCAAGCAAATACTTTAAAGAGTCTAGATATGGAGGCATACAATCTGGTTGCTTGACTTTTAAGGTACATGAATCTGGGTATGTCTTTTAGAACAGAACATAGAGACATTTCGCATGATCGTCATTTTGTTTCATGACACTAACTTGAGTTTTACAGGACTATTTAACATTTCCTGATAATCTTTCTCTTCCATCCTCTAAAGTTTGGTGTACGGCAGTTGTGGGGCAAGGCTAAATGAGTGGATGGACCTTTCATTTTCATAGATGATAAAATCGGTTGAAGGTTTATGGAAAAACGTTAATGGAGGAATTTAACATTTGATACAGGATGGAGTCAGGTCCAAGAGAATTTACAGCTATCTATATTCACTAGAAACCCCTTCTCTTTGCTGTAATCTTGTCGATAATTTCACAGACAAGAACATTACATTCGGACTTCTTTTCTAATTCTGTTCTTTTAAGTTTACAATAGATGGGTGATGGATCCAAATTTTATGTTCATAAGTTTGATTTTTTGCCAAGATCATGAAGACTATCACTGTACCGAATTGTTCGTGAGTTTATTTTTGTTTTACAATGGTAATATCGAACCGCCATATCTGAAATACAGATGGCTAGACTATATTTTGATGTAAAGACTTAGATTCAAGTGGTTACAAAACATATTCGATCACATAAGTAAATGACCAATGCAAAATTGTTTCGAGAAAAAGTAAACTAATAGATAACGCTCACATAATCAGTGTGGTAAAAGACCCGTCTTTTCACAAGGTGATTATTTCGTGGAGATTATCCACTGAGGTGGGGGTGATAGAAGCTATCTATTCGCAAACCTTTATGACTCAGTTCCCTCACTCGTAAGAGAATGGGGTGGGACATTACAGCTGGTTAAGGTCATTAGAAGAAGTGTTTTCCACCTATTTTAAAACCCAAGTCGCTTTTACAAGCTATTAACTTCTCTGGAAGATTTTGATAACCATTATACTCGTGTAACTTTCCCGTTCGTTCCATTCCTTTGTGTGCTCAATAACATCCTAGGCATGACTCTCGAGATTACTACTTTCATGATCGTTCTTGAGGAAGAAATGCTCGTAGCCGCAGTATACAATAAATGCTACCGTCGCAATTCCCAAGCCAGGAAAGTTATTTCTAAGACGGCTTGCTCTAGAGAATGGACCTGTATATCGCCACGCTTCGCTTTTGATTGTTAGTAACAGCAATGGAATAAAAATCATTAGGAAAATCTATAGCTTACTTTCGTGCCCAAGGATCATTTACTGGAGAGCCGGCAGCCGCAGCAAGTGTTCTTGGGTTGAATCCTGTCAGATTGGGTTTAGGTCCCCATCTCACACTGTTGGTTGACAGGATATGAGCGGTAAGAACACTAAATTCTTGGGTTTACGCACATTGAGTATTTCATTCTGATAAGCTTCAAGTTTTGAGGAATAGAAGTTTGGCCAATACAAATTAACAAGGATTGCGGTGAGTAACGTGCACTATCTAGCAGCGCTTGTTTGGACCTTTGCTCTAGATTAGCGCGGCTAAAGCGGCTCTGAACTTTAACTCAATGCATATTGTACTCCTTCACTATTCGTTGCTAGACACATCGTTTTATAAATATCATGCTAAACTACTAACAACGTTTAAAATTCGACCAATTGTTTACCGCTGAAATTAGTATAGAATTTTCGCTGTTTCCATGAATTTTCAATCAATTCTTTTCGAGCTTAAGAAAGGGTACCAAAACTCAGAATGCCCCCGACATCACAACAGCGCTATGTTAGCGGTGCAAGTAGCTTATCCCAACACTATCAGCCATATGCTTCCCATCAGCCAGGACATACAATTGGCCTTACACCACCATCATTGGGAAGCATGAATGTAAACTCAATGAATAACGCATTCTCTGTGAACGGAAACGCTCTGAGCTTATCTGCTGGATTTGGAGGTTCCGCATTAGGTATACCTGGGGGAACAGGCTTAGGGAGTCAAGCAGCACAAATGAGTTTCAACAGTCTAGGTATGCATCAACAACACAATGGAACTGGCGAGTTGGGGCCAAGAACAAATGGAGGTAAAAATAGAATCCGAGATGTATGGGCTGGAAATTTGTACGAAGAGATGGAACTTTTACGTCGAGTGGCTGTTGGCTGTCCATATGTCGCTATGGTAAGGGGAAGCCCGGAGAAGTATGATAGATGAGAGGGCTGATTTACCGTAGAATGCCGAATTCCCAGGTGTTGTTGCACGTCCGATGGGTACTTTCAATGGTCGAAGTGACTACCATTATCAATGTATGAGATGCAATGTCGACCTAATAAGTATGTACCAACTTGGCATTTCGCTTTTCACCGAAGATGGTGAATCACCACCTGCAACAATCCAACCTTTGGATTTAGGATATGATTCGTCAGAGGCGCGAAAATTTGGGACCATGATTAGTATACCGACAACGTGGCAATTTCATTTCCGGTTTTCATTAAAGGTAGACATGTACTCGGAAATTTCAATTGAATCTTCGCGGCAAGCAGGAATAGATGTACCGCGAATGGAAAATGAAGGTATCGATCCATTAATATTTGGTTCTCTTCTCATGACATCCGGACTAGTGTGCGATGAGGATGTGCATTGGCTCGCTTGTCATGGAGCGTATGACCTTGGACATCTTACAAAGATTCTATCTGTTCTACCATTACCTGACGATGAGACTGGGTTTGATACAATAATGAAGAAATTTTTTCCTAGTATATTTGATATAAAATATCTGGTAAAAGAAGCTGTCAGGCGTCATCAACTCGGACAACTTACTCCACTGGATTCTGCCAGCAATGAACTTATGTCTAAACTAGAATCAAAGCCAGGGCTTGATCACCTAGCAGAATGTCTGAAGATAAAACGAGTTGGACCGCAACATCAGGCTGGCTCCAACTCCTTACTCACTGGTCGACTTTTCTTCAAAATTCGCGAAAGTTTCTATGGTGGGGAGGTGAGTGAAGATGTAGGCGGTAAGATGTACGGTATCGGAAATCCTGAAAATAAGACACAAATTTCCGGTAATCAACCTAATCCTCAACAGATCAATCAGGATAACTTACCCTCTGGTACAAATAACTTGCCCAACGGAACCCCTAGTACCCCTAATTCAGGAAGTGCTGGTCTAGCCCAGACACCTGGTCACAATATCCATGGTGGTAATACAGGTCCCCTAACGCCGGGAGGCGCAGGTGGCGTTTTTGGTGCATTCCAATATAACGGTAAATAAAAAGTTGGCTTTTATGAACATGAGTTAAAGATCAAATGGGTCGGAGTCTGAGAATAATGGTGCATGATATGGGGTTGACGGGATTACACTGCTTTTGGCGAACTTGTGTATAGTAAGTTGATAGTTTTCTGGCAGGCTTCCAAGCGCTTCAATATACCTCGCGTTCTCGATCAGATCGAGATAATTCTTGCAGCCATTGTAATGGCTCACAAAAATATAATTGAATAAATTCAATGAAAGATTAATTTGGAAAGAAATCTGAGACACAATACAGGATCGCTTAATCCACTTCGCTCCAAATAGTATTCTGGAGATAGATGACTTTCATAATTGAACTTCTTCCCCGAAGATTCTGCTCAAAATTCTACATGTTTGATTCCGAGGTTCATCAATGACATAGGTGCTCGCTTACAGATTCAGCTAGTTTATGCTTGTGACTTGATGTATCACAGGATCCTAGGTTAAGAGAATTATTAACTTCGTCAGATAGTTCTGCAACAGATAATTCCACCGTCTTTCCATGTTATATTCTAGATAGCCTGGTCATCTCTACTGCTCAAGACTAAAGACCCCTAGTACCAACCTAATTATGTCTCCGTTTAATTTCATGCGGCTATTACATGGATAGAGATTTTAATGGCATCTAGCTGTAAAAGGTTTAAAGAATTTAGAAGTACTTGAAAGTCGATAACACCATGGGAATTGATAGTTTTTCTTGGGAAGCTAATCTACCGCATCGTCTTCTGCTCTTTGTGTCTGCGGAGACCAGTATTAACTCCTTCCCTCCCTTGGCCATCTGGGAATACTGGAGGACGAAGGTCAAACACCTGTCAGTGGTATCCTCTACGAACCTGAGAGTGAAATATTCTATCAGAGCAGAGATTCAGTCACGAAAAAGGCTCGGATGAATTTATTTTATTGATTTTCGGCTTCAAGGGGTTGTACTCGGTATTTTGGCCGAAGAATTAGTCGACAGAGGTTTAACAGCCGCAAAAAAGCCGAACAAAAGTTCATCACCACCAACATACGATTCACGAATCAATCTAGGTCTATCTATGATCGAATTCAAACAACCGATATCTCTCAAATTCCTTTTATATTTGCGACGATGTATTTCTCAGTTGATCCCATACAAGCAACTCACCTCCATATTTGTCACATCATCTACCTAAACACGCCCTAATGAGGAAAATTATGATGGAAACGGGATATGTACAAAAGAGTGAAAAAAAAGGAAATATACACCGAGGGGATCGCATAGATCACCAATGACGAAAACAATGCAACGGTACGATATCAAGGTGTAATGCTAGAGCTACGATGAAATCTAGGGTGATATTTATATTTCGGAGCCAATGAGGATGTCGAGGGCTCGAGCGCATGGCTGAGGCTAAGGAGCAATTTGCGCTGCAGCGTATATAAAACGAGTTTCTGGACGGTCAGATTTGGTATGATTCAACACATAAGTTAGGTCTGAGGTCGTCCGGTCATTTAGGTGGTTCGAGGCTTATTGTACTACTATGGTAGTTGACCTGATCCGGCCCGGCCCCATTCGTGCTTAAGCTTCCATAGGAGTACGGAGCGTGCCAATTGTGTTGGAAATGGAGACACAGAGTGTTTTTTTTTTGCATCAGATTATAATTGCGTATGCAGCTATCTAGCTATGATATAATTTCAAAGAAAAGTACAGAATAGATGATTTAATTTAAAGGAAGAGCACTCATGCCTCAGATTTCATTTGCAAGTACCACTGCGAAGTTATGGTGGCTTTTTCTTCACCCCAAGTCAACCCTCATCCGTGAATACCCACCCAGGGGAACGTCTCAAAAACCCTGAGTTATTCAGACATGCCTCCATCATCTTTCAACTTTTCTCCGCGCGATATGTGATCTGAGGCGTCTCCTTCCCAAGTGGATTAGGTGCCCAGGCTACTCAAACTATACCGGAGAACACCACCAGACACAGAGTGTTTTGGACGTACGGGCCCTCTATTTTGTCTAGGTTCCCGACATGATCTTGTGTGTATTTAAGAGGTTGGAATGGGTAATATCGTAGCGCTTCAGGCTACTTATTGCAGACATGAGCGGCTGTATGGCGTGGGCACAAGGAGGTTATTAGGTGTTACGGTTTGACCGTTGTTTGAGCTTAGGTGAATACCTAAGCGTATTGTTGAGAATATTTACGACAAGGCTGCATGGGGAGGATAGATGAAGCTGAACAAGACGGCACTACCAGTCAGGAGGTCGAAGCGTTACTACAACTAAGTAACACCTGGCAATGCGTGGCTGGGTAACAAGTATTGTGCTTAAGGATAAATTATCAGTCTTATTAGAATATGATTCTCTTAGACAACTGATATAGGACTACTGGAAGTAAATTTGATCAAGTATTGGGTTAACATCAAATATAGAGCGTGTATCGCGGCTACTTCTCTGCACTCTCTCCTAATGCTACGACCTAGCTCTCGCTACACGCTAATATGGAACTACTAATACAGGGTATATAATATCTCCAAACGCCCTACTCATTGTGCTCCCAAGTAAACAATAGTCACAACCATAACTTCATTATATTCAGGTGCAAGAATAATTATGTTTGACCAACAATTATTTAATTTAACAAGTCTGGAAATTGACGGAGGGGACCAATTCTTGTATATACCTGTTAGTCGTAGCTAGAGTTCTCCTTTCTCCTCATATAGTTTAATAAATCGATTTATTCATCGCCAACTCTGTTTCTGTCACATTAGGGGTTTTCTATGCCTAGATGGAGCCACATTCGTTTATGCTGTGGCTTAGGCTACGTGTCGCTTACACTTCTTCTTCGATCGCACACTTCCCATACTTTTAGCTGTAATCCGAACATGACACTCTTTTAGTCAACTTCTACTTTCGATCCAAGAATATTGCGCCCACTTTATTGCGCGATATTTCCAAAAAATTTTCCAGCACGTGAACAAACAAACATATACCTTGGAATAATCCATTCTCCCCTCTTCTAAAAAATCCTCCCATCTGGCAAATACCCCCTAAGATGCCTCCTTATGCGTGCCCTTCGCATTTCCGAAAGCGTTGCTCTGTCACAGCTTAGCTTGCTAGATGGAGTGGTTCTAGTGACCAGTCCCAATCTAGGAAAAGCCCGTCACACTAGCCGTGACTAAACCTTGTCAATTTAATCGTTTTGAGGGCACACAAAGAGGAGAGACAACTACTCTGCGTTATTTTTTTTTTTTAATACATTCGGTTCTAAGCTAAAGCTATGTTTTCCACATTGGGTCAAGGACCGGCGGATCCGGCAGGGTTCCCTGTAACTTTTCCTACAGCCTAACTCGTTCCAACCTCGTGAATCGCTACCAAAAGTGCAGCTGATTGAACAAGAACGAAAAATCACAAAAATCAAAACAACTCCGAATACCAGAAGATTCCTCCATATTGGACTCAAGCAATGTGCTCCTCACATATTCCCTCGTCCGTTACACCTTCCAAATGACAAATTTGCCCAACTCCGCAGGGAGCAAAAGATGTATTAGCAGGCACCTTTGATCCAGCCGGTATCTTGCTATTGGTTAGTAGATGCCCCAAAAGGGGACATCGTCGAGGTTGCTGTGTCCTCAAACTTCTTCAGATCCCAGAGCTCCGAAACCTGTTGCCTCGGCCATCGAGACATCCTTAGCCGCGGCGATGATCGCCTCGTCGGCCTTTTTTGCTGCAGCACTGGCTCGTGCCACCTTTGCGAACTCCCCTTGTTCGATGTGGCGAATCCACGCGAGCTGCTCTTTGGTCACTGGTCCCCCACAGTTGCGACAGCGTGTGAGGGCCTTGCACTCTGTTTCGGAGTGCATATTTGATCCGCAGTTCCAGCAAGCCGGAGCGCGGGAGCAACCACGAGTGGCGTGGAAGCCCAAACAGCGTTTGCACTGTTCAATTGATCGACGAGGCTTATGGATGGTAGCCATACCCAAATCGTCGAAAAGGCGGAAGCCCGCACGAGGGGCTTCGTCCCGGTGAAAAAGGGCATGCCAGTTTTGATAAGGCGATCCAGGCCGACATGTCCCATGAGGTCTGACATGGATTGGATACGCGCTGGTCGTAAGGAAGATCTCAGCGATAACACTTGCGGCATCGGTCACTACGGGGCCGTACTGTGAAACGATACTTACAGGTACGTTCGGTATCTGTAAGGCGACAAGATCCGAAGATGCTTCGAGTTTGGCGTTTTCAATTGCCAGCTTCGGAGAGACATCTAGGATATCTTGTCGTATTTTTTCGTTCTTTGCTATAATAGCAAAGCCGGTCTTTACTCGATGAATCGAGGTTATATCATTGTAAGAGAGATTAAGCGTGTCCGCTACCTTACTTTTCACAATGCGGTTTGAGAGATTCCGTCATGGGTGCTACTTTTCCAGGCGAAGGAACAGTCGCTTATCGACTTTCGCCTTGGGAGCTTCTTTCTTTTGGGCTCTCGCCGCAGGTCGCGGCACAGCCTTTGCTATAGGGGCTGCATTTTGTCGCAGTCCATTTTTGGCCACCGTGGCCCAGGTGCTTTTTACAGGCAGCACTGGGACGGCGGGAGTTGTATTGCTCCTGGCTTCTGGAGCCCTTGGGGTCGGGTTCGCAGGGCGAGGAGGGAGGACGGGTGGCGTGATGGCCGGGCCCGTGGCCATGTATTGCGCAATGGCGGCGCGTAAATAGACTCTCATCGAGTCTACGAATTGTCTATTTGACCCGTTGGTCAAAGGGAGGAGGGTGGCTTCGACGCCAGAGATGGCGGCGGAACAGAGGGCCAGATTTGCCGCTGTTTCGGCGGCGCGTCGTTGTTCAGCTTCGACTATTGGTCGGAGCTCGAGGGGACACTCTGCTTTTGTGGCAGCTTTCGGCTGCGACGTTGATTTTGGCGCTGCTTTGTCTGCAGCGTTTTCCGACGGTTTTGACGCTGTCGGAGGAGATTTTGACGATTCTCCAGTCCCGTGAGGGACGGAGGATGGTTGGGGAAATTCCTCA